GCTCAAGGCCAGCCTGAACTGCACAGTGAGACCCTGTCTCAAAAAGACAAAAAGAAGTTTTTAGAAATCACCTGATTGGGAGATGCCAAGGCAAAGGCTCCTGGGTCCTCAGAGAGATGGGATAAACTTTCCTCCCACTTTGCAAAGGGCAGTCACTGGGCCAAGTCATGCTATCCCTCTGTGGCTTCAACTGTGCCCCTTCAGGCCGTCACTACCCACCTTCCCACCCAGCATCCTCCAAGCGCCAAGAAGGGCCGAGGACTCGGCTTGGACCCTGCAAGGTGCTTCCTACCAGCAGGGGCAGCGCCACAGGGGCCTCTGGTCACCACCCCCTTCCAGGAGAGAGGGGCGCTGTGTCCACTGTGTCCCCTGTGGCAGTCTGCCACTGGTTCACCAAATCCCCTGGCTTTGCTGCCTCAGAATTCCCAGTGTTGTGGTCCTCACCGAGAGGCGCTTCCCTGCGTCCTGGCTGTTGGTCTGGAAGGTTCAGCCCCTATGGTTCTGTGCAGGCCATGAGTATGGACACTGAGTCCCAGGGAGCCACTGCTCTGGCTTCTTGTCCCCAGCCACTGCTTCTGGACAGGCCTGAGCTGCAAGCTGGGTTCCTGGCAGTGGCCACAGCACTCAGTGCCCAGGATCTGGGACCTCTGTGTTATCATCTGCACACTGCCCTGGCCTCCAGCCACCAACTGTCCCGCGCTTGGCTGGTGTCCAGCCCCTTCCTGCCCCTCCACGGCCCTGCATGACAGCTCAGTGTGGTGGCCTCCAGATCCCCACACGTGTCTGTTTTTTGGGTTTACCAAGAGGCAGCTGGGTTGTCCTCCACCTCACCCCAAACAGGCCCTGGGGTCACCTCCTACTCGGTTCTGTGCAGGTCTCTTGAGTGTCACCTGTCACAGCTGGGCTGCCAGGTGCCAGTGCAGCACCCCACCCCCTGTTCCAGCCTGCCATGCAGGAGTCCTCTCTTCTCCACGAGTGCACACACCACAGGGCTGCCCCTCCCCTCCCCCGTGTCTCCCCACCGTGGCCTGGAGCCGAGCTAATTGGGCCATGGCAGAATAAAGGTGTGAAGGACGTAAGGCTGTCCCATTCCTGCTGGCAACACTAACCAAAGACAGGCTTGCCCCAGGATCCAGTAGGGTGTTCCTAGTTCTCCACACTCTAGTCTGCAGGGCATCTGTTGCTTTGGGGGACCTCAGAGGGGACCATGTAGAACCTCAACCCTGAGTCAGAGCCATGCAGCCAGCCATTCCTGGGAACCCTGAGTCCGGTCTTTGCATCTCACATGTTGGTACAGCTTGGCTTGGCCGCCGCATGCTCCTGAGTCAGTGCTGCTGGCTCTGGTCCCACCTGGGGTGACTGCACCTGTCGGGGCTCTGTGAGGCGGCCCTGACCCAGTTAAGGCAGCACCGTGAGGCTCATTTCCTGCCCATCCTGCCCACCCGGCTGGGCCTGGGCTACTGTCCAGTCCAGGGTCCTTGGTAACAAACCCACCTGTGCTGCCCTCAAAGAAAAGGGCGTTTTCAGGGTCTCTGGGTGACATGGGGCCAGAAGCCGAGCCTGGCTGGGGGCAGGAATGGGCACCAGTGGCTCAAGGAGGACTCTATTCTTCTGTGCTGCCATCCCCGCCCCCTGATGTCTGTCTGTCTCTTGGTCTAGCCCCTCTCCACTGCCAAGTTGCTCTGAGAAGTGATCTGGGCCACCCTCATGCATTGGCTGAGGCCAGCTGGGGTGTCCTGGGGAACCAGCCTCTGTCTCTGTGTCTCTGTGTCTCTGTCTCTGTATGTCTCTCTGTCTCTGTCTCTCTCTACCTCTGTCTCTGTCTCTATCTCTCTCATGCCAGGTCTGACCCAGGTCCTTCATCCTGACCCACGTCCCCAGCCCTTCGTGTGTTGTTTTGCACAGCCTAGGCTGGCCTGGACTCGGAGTGCTCCTACCTCTCTCCTGTTGCTTTTTAACCAGCTCTCATGCGGGCTCTGTGGACGCTGCTTCTCCAGCAGGGGCACCCTGGGGCCCTGACGGCTATGACATCCCAAGTTTGTTTCTGCCCAGCTCGCCAGGTCAGTTGGTGGCCTTACTGAGCACAGCTTTGACATGAACATGGTGCTTGGTGATTGTAGGGCACAGGTCCCCACTTCATGAGTTTCACAAGAGCCTGATGAAGGCGAGTGGACCTAAAGTGTCCCCACCTGTGACACACAGTGGAGCCCAGGTTGAGGTTCCGTCCTTAGGGCTGAGAAAAAAAGAAAAACTAAGTCATTTGCCCAAGTCAGAGAAGTAGTAAAGTTAGGACTAGAATTCAGGCACCTAGTTCTTAGGTGTTTGTTGTTTTATTTTCTTTCAGATTTCTTTCTTTTTTTTTTTTTTTTTTTTTGTCTTTTTCCTTTTTATTGGTACCAGGGATCAAACTCACAACTACCTGCTTGCAAGGCAGGCGCTTATGCCGCTGAGCTAAATCCCCAGCCCCCAGATTTCTTGCATAAATAAAAAAGTTGCAACTGTCTGGTAGGTGTCACATTATTCCATCTTTGGGGGTTGATTTTAAACTGAAAGACTTTAATTTTCAATCGTGTGTATTTTTTGTACATTTATTGCTTTATCAATTCTAATTCCCAAGCTAATACTTAGTTTTTACTGACTTAATTTCTCTGTAGATGCGTCGTTCAGGATTTACTATGTCACACCTGCCATGGCTGCCCTGCAGGAAGCCGGCCTGAGGGAGGGGTGTTTGTGAGCGTCCTCACGCATGGATTTCTGCCCAGGCATGCACCGACACCCCCTAACCCTCTCATACTTGTTCAATCTACTGATTTAAGGCAGATGCACAGCTGTAATTCACACCTGTGAGGGGCGTTTTCTAGGTTGGCGCCCTCTGGCTTCTACTCCTGGGAATCACATGTTCGTGCTCACTGCTCCTACTTGAGTGTGCAAATGTGTACATGTGTGTAAATGCATGCACACCTGTGTACTTTTTCACATTTAAAAAAGGATTGTTTCTCTGTTAAAAAATCATATTGTTGCAATAAACTTTCTCATAAACAGTGTAAGGCAAGAACCTAACTGAACCACTTGAGCTGGAGAAAAAATTATGACTTGTAAGAAATGGCAGTGTTAATGTTTCATATCTTATGGATTCACGGTGTCACCCGAGTTCTGTTGTCCACAATAATTGGTGTAAAAATGCTGCAGATTCAAATCCACAAGGCACGAGTGGCTGGCAGAGGCGTGGAGCCCTGGTGTCTCACAGGACCTGCGGGTCCTCCCAGGGCCTGGCCGGGCTCCAAGCTCCGCCCCAGCAGCTGCCTCCCGCACCCTTTCTCTTCCTGTCCGGCCATTCAGCCCAGAAGCCCAAGGGTCTTCCATTCCTGATATGTTTTAAAACAAGTAATTTAAAATTATTGAATATTTAAATGAAAGTAAGAAAAGGAGAACATATTCTATAGTCTGTTCACCTAGGTAGGATAACTCTTAACTGCTCTATCTCGGACCTTTCCTCTCCTACCCAAACTAACTGCTTTATTTTTCTGTATCTAAAAGTAAGACTAGAAAAAGGCATCTAAGATAATAGTTTCCTCTTCCCCTCTCTCCACGCTCTCCCTTCTCAACACCCCGCTCTCCACAGGTAACCACTGTTGGTGTACTGTGCATTTATCCCCAGAATTTTCTATGCATACGACACCTTTCTCAAATGAAACACGTCATGCACACAATTCTGCAGCTTTCCTTCTCTCACAAAGCATCTCCAGTATCCCCTGAGCTGTTTCTGGTTTTGGCGTCTGTGTTTAGTTATGAGGATCCATTGTCATTTGTAAAACCAGTTTCCTCTGAGTAGACACTGACTGTGCTGCTGGAAGGAAAGTGCTGCCGGAGGAGGTGGTCACCGGGTTGTCTCTCTCGTGCTCTTCCCCCAGGCGTGAACTAAGCATCTTTCCCTGCCAGGCCTGCCACCATCCCACTCCTGCCCTGGGGCCTGTCCGCCATGGACTGAACCCTCCGAAATCATGAGTCACATGAATCTCTTCTTGGAGTTGCGCGTGTCAAGTGTTTTTTCCCAGCAGTGGGAACACTGGTGTGCACCGCTGTACCCAGCTTGACACCCAGTTCACTGTTCTCGCTTTCTGGCTATGACAAATGCCGCTGCTGTATGTGTAGGTGTGCAGTTAGTTTTTATTTGGAAGTTTCTTTTCAGTCTCTTGCGCCACACCTACGATGGAATGGCTGGGCCTTACAGTGCCTTTAGCATCTGTTCTTGCTGTGTCAGTGGTGCAGAAGGTCGAGATTTCCTCATGTCCCATGTCATCACCTGTCCTCTTAACTGTAGCCCTTCCAGTGGGTGTGAAGCTGGGTTCATTGTGGCTTTGATTTCTAATTCCCTAATGGCTAATGATACTGAAGTCATTTGTGCTTATTGGCCATTTGTCTGTCTTATTTGGACAAACATCTCTCTGACTCCTGGTGTTTTGGTGGATTGTTTTATTATTGGTCATGAGAGTTCTTTGCACATGTAGACACGTATCCCTGTCTCACTTGCCAGTGTCTTATCCCATTGTGAGTCATTTCATGGAGTGAGTTGGGAAACAGTCCTGCTTCTGCCTGTTATCACCTCTCTGAGTGCTCGGTAGAAGTATCTCACCAGTGAAGCCATGTGGGCTGGCTTTTTTTTTTTTTTTTTGGTGCCAGGGATCGAACTCACAACCTCACGCTTGCTTGCCAGGCAGGTGCTGACACCACTGAGCTAAACCCCTGGCCCTGGGCTGGCTTTTTGGTGGGAAGTCTTCAAATCCTTGTTATGAATGATCAGACTGTCTCTGTGCTGTTAAAATGAGATTTTATATTCTAAATAGAGAGCTGGTTATTCTAACACTAGTTACTGAATAACCCAGCCTTTCCCAGCAGCTTCAAACACCCAGATGACTGCTGCGGGCCCTGACGGCCACCTTGCTCCTGCAGGGCATGAGGCCAGGGGACCCTTGGTGCTAGAGGATGCGGGTAAGGGGACAGTGGCTGGGACAGGGTCCTGCTTTCCCTGCTGTCGCTGCTGACTGTTGGCCTGGTCTGACTCCAGTGCTTTGTCTGTAAGCTGGAAGGGCATTCGCTGGACACCAGCAGCCGTGCTGCTCCGGCGGGAGCCCTGCCAGGCCAGCAGTCAAGTGGGGCCCTGGGTGACTCACTGGGACACTGGTGCTGCTGCGGGTGACTTCGGACCTTGGTGTCCACCTGCTGCTGCCCCTCCCCCATTCGTGCTCTTTTCAGACCTTGGACTTGGCCGTGGCTCCTGAGCCCTGGGACAGCGAGTCCTGTACTGTGGATCTGACACCCACTGCCTCCACCCTGCAGTGCTCACCCCATGTCCCCCAGGCCACAGGTCCTGACTGCACCTGCCCCAACCCAGGCACATCCCTGGCTGTGACACCCTGACCAGCTGGCTCGGTTGTGAGGCCAGCGCCGACATGACATGGCGTCTCTGTCTCTGCCTCCTCTGGGTACAGACCCAAGCAGAGCCGTTTCCCTGGACAGGGCCGCAGCTCCTCTGGCCTGTGCTGTCCCCATCCCCCTCTGTATCCCCAGGTGTCTCCTCCCATGCCACGCCCCTCCTCCCAAAAGCCCACAGGCCCCTCCGGTACACAGGTGTGACTTGTCTTCTGTGTAGGAAGGGTCGCTTGTGCTGTTCACTTCCACTGTCCCCTGACCCTGGTGGCCGGCGACTCCCAGGGTAGAGCTTCCAAGGGGTGAGGGGCATTTGTGCTCCAACTTCAGCTGCTGTGTGTACACAAAGGTCCAGTGGCAAAAGGACCTGGGTCAGGAGGGCAGCTCTGGCTCACTGAGCTTTGAAGTTCCCAGGGTGTCTCATCTGTCCCCAGCCCTCCAGTGCCAGGGCCTCCTGCTCCACGCTGCTTGGTCACAGTCACCGTGAGTGTGGCCTGCCACACTGCTTGCTAAGTGGTTCTTTGAGGCAATGTTCTGATCTCATCAACCCAGGTGGCCATGGGCGTGGGTGTGGCACTGTCTGGCCCCCCTCTCCTGCGCTGCCCTGGGAGCCAACTCGGGATCTGGCTTGGCTTTCCTGGCCCAGCCACTGCCTCGTTGGTGGACACTCACTGCCTTGCTGCCCACAGCAACCATCACCTCGGGGTCAGAGAGCAGAAGCGCTGCCCTAGACATTGCCCTGAGACACTGCTGAGTCCTCCTAGTAAACTGCCCACTCGTGTCACAGATGTAAACTAATGAAGGCCCGGCTCAGAAAATCCCCGAACATTTGTCTCAGACCCTGGAGACATCTTGGTGATTTTCCCCCTAAACCATTTTCTATGCCGACAGAGGGGACATGTCAGGGACTCACAGGTGGGCGCCTGGCCTGCAGGACTCCTGTGCAGGCTGGAGGGCAGAAGGACAGTCCAGGCCCAAGCTGGTGCCCTGACACCTGTGGCCCCACGCCCAGCCCAAGACGACACTGCTTGCTCACTCTCTGGCTTTCTTCCCAGGTTTCCTGTGTCCCCTCCCCATCAGGATCAGCGCCAGGCAAGCGACATGGCTGCTGTTCTGTTCCCGGTGTGTTCCTCATTCCCAGCCCAGGCCCAGCACACCATAGGCACCAAGTAACCACTGTGAAATGGCGATTAAGAGTGTATGAGGCTTCTATGTTTTATTAAAAACTTTTTTGCTTATTTATTTTTTGAGACAGGGTCTCACTGTGAGTTCAGGCTGGCCTGGAACTCATTATGCAGCCCAGGCTGGCCTCAAAGTCACAGGGATCTTCCTGCCTCAGCCTCCCAAGTGCTGAAATTACAAGCACGCGCCACTGCGCTTTGTGACGAACATCCAAAGCAACCCACATGTGCATAGAAACATCACAACACACCTCACATGAGCATGGGCAAGCACTCTTTGTCAGGTTCTGATAAAAATTTTAGAAGTTTAAAAGTATGGTGGTGCACGCCTGTAATCCCAGCTACTCAGGAGGCTGAGTCAGAAGGATGGCAAGTTCAAGGTCATTTTGGGCAACTTTGCAAAATTAAAAAGAAATAACCATGGCAGATCTACACTAGGGTGCAAGTATTCACAATGACATCCTGATGTAACTCCATAAAGAGATCTGCTAATTATGTTACTGAATGGGGAACGGGAAGATAAAATGGGTAACTGAAATGTATATACCTACAGGCAGAGGTTTCATTTGGTAAGAAAAGGAAAGTCCTGATGAACCGTGAAACTGTACCGAGTGAAAGAAATGCCAAGGCCACTAAATAGTTGGTGATTCCATTTATTTCAGGAATATCCCCAAGTGTGGCAGTGCACATCTGGGAGGCCAAGACGGCAGGGTCATGCATTTGAGCCCAAGTCGGGCAGTTGAGTGGCTGAATGATGCTCTGTCTTGAAATAAAAAATAAAAATTGGCAGGTGATACAGCTACCTGGGAAGACCCTGGGCTCCATCCTGGTACAGAAAAAGGAAAGGAAAGGACGGGAAGGCAAGGGAGGGGAGGAGAGGGGAGAAGAAGAAAAAAGGAAAGGAAAGTCTGTAATCAACAACCACAGGGAACTAAAGCAGATAGGCAGAGTCAGCACTGGGACAGCAGAGTTAGGAGACAGTGGTCGCTGCTATTGGGCACACGGTTTCTTTTTGGAATAAAAATATTCTGAAGTTGATTGCACTAATATGCACACAACTCTGAGTGTACTAACACATTGGGTCCTGTACTTTACAGCATCTGAATTAGAGCTCAATAAAGTTCTACTGCAGTGTCGAATGTGAAAGAAAGCGAGGCAGAGATGTGGACTCTTCTTTGGAAGATGTTTCTGTCTTCCAAAGAAGAGAAACCAAACTCCAGGGAAACCCTGCTCCTGAAAAATAAGTAAGTTTTTCCTTATGGGGGGAGAGGAGCTGGGAGTCTCAGAACAGATCTGGCTTAAATCAGGCAAATGTGTCTAGAGCTAAACAAAACTTAAGACACGAGTGGCCCAACGATGAAATACGCCAGGTTCAAGGTGTTTTCCACACCGGTACGAGCCGGTGCTCTGAGCACAGTTCTTGGACCACATTCCTGGCCGGTGTTACCCTAAGACAGGCACTGCAGAAAGCTTCCAGGAACCCCGTGCAGCAGAGAGGAAGGGGAGAGGGGAAGGAATTTTTACTGGGACCAGAGATTGAATCCAGGGCCTTGGCACCAGCTCCATCCCTAGCACCACCCCCTTGTTTTGAGACAGGCAAAATGCGTTGAGTTGCTAAATTGCCCGGAGTGGACTCAAACCTGTGAGGAGAAGCTGCCTCAGCCTCCCACAGGGTTCAGAACACAAGCTTGCACCACCTTGCTGGCCCAAGAGGAAGAGCTACACATATTGTTACAGCTTGTGTCTGAATCCCCCAAACATCATGGACCCATGGGTGAGGCTTCTGGATCTAGGGTGCGATGCTGGGATTAAGGGGGGCCCCAGAGGCAGGCTTGCTGCTGTCGATGCTGCTGGCTGACTTCTGCCTGCCTTGCTTTGCCTTGCAGAGAGCTGTTTCCGCTCTGCCCTGCCCCTGTGCCAAGCTTCCCTGCCTTGGAGCCAGCTGGTTTTGAACTGAACCACTACAGACTGTGAGCCAGGTAAACCTCTCCTCCTCTAACTTTGGATGCTGGGTATTTTGTCTCAGCAGTGAGACAGCTTAACACCTGCATGTGTGTGTATCTGAATGTCTGAAGCACTGTCACGTGGGTATATTTGAGGAGACCTTAGCAAAGGTAGCAGTTGTCAATTTATTCTAATAAACATTTAGGGAATCAGGAAAAAAGCTTTTAAAAATGATATTTATTAAAACTTTAAAAGTTACTTAAAATGTATTAAAGTCAGAGGAAAAATTAGTCTTTTAACTCTAAACCTGTGGGTTCCAGGAATTGCATATCAAAGGATTTAGGTTTCAGAGGAGACATCAGGGAATTCCTTGTGAAAGGGTTTCTGTTCTGTTCCTGGGCGCACTGAGATGTGGGCACCGCAGGGTTCCTCTGCCTGGGCCATGTGCGTGGAAAGTGAGCACTGGCACAGGAAGTGGCTCTCAAGGACACAACCGTCAGTGCAGGCCTCTGCTGCAGGCACGGGGTGGCACTGCGTCCAGGTGACAGAACCAGTTCTTCCTCAGGGGTTCAGAGCACTGGGCCTCCGACTTCTCATCTCCCAGCTCCAAGAAGGGCCACTGGTCCTGGTCCTCACTGGTCACGTCCCTAACCACAGGACACCCCAGGGCAAGCAGGTCACAGTCTCGGGAATTTTTCCTCAGTTTTTCTGGTCCCGCAGCTAAAATCACTTGGCTGGTCAGCTGTGCGGGCTAAATGGATTAAAATTTTACAAGTATCGGTAGACTCGTGTCCACAAGTAGATGAGGACCGTTGCCAAGATGCAGGACATAAAAGTCTGGAACAGCCGTGCTTTCCAGTAGGAGAGTGGCAAGGGACCCTGGAGGGAGAGGCAGAAGCCTTCCTGCAGGACACAGAGGAGAGAAGGGTTAGCAGCTTCAGGCTGCCTGGATCTGGGTCCAGGAGCTCAACTCTGGGTGCCCAAAGGCCTGGTGCTCAAGGACCTGGATGCCCAAGGTCCCAGCACAAAATCAAACCCCTGAATACACATCAGGCTCTAGAGGGAACAGTAAAACAACTCTGGGGTTTAAAAAGGAAGACAAGCTGGGTGTGGTGGTGCACTTTTGTAACCCTAGCACTTGGGAGGCTGAGGCAGGAGGATTGTTACGAGTTTGAGACCAGCCTGGGCTACAAAGTAAACTCAAAGCCAGCCTGAACTGCACAGTGAGACCCTGTCTCAAAAAGACAAAATAAATATAAAATTTGTAAAAAATAAAAAGGAAGGCAATCTTTTGTTTAAGGGGACCAAGAGATGGAGGGGTGAGGGGTGCAAAAAGGGACCCTGTGAGGAGGTAGGACAGGAGGAGAAATAGACTAGAAAGAGACTAGAAGGTTGGAATTTTAAAATAGTATTTTTAAAGAAAAACTGTAGCTTCAGGACACAAAAGTTACTTAAGTCTTTTTTTTTTCCCTTCCAGGAAAATCTTTCAAAAAACCAAAAAATCCCTACAGGCCTTAGAGACTCTGCGAGCCTGAGCCGCCCAGCCCCGCCCTGCTCTACTACTGAGCTGTGCTTCCCGTCTGCAGGGCAGCAGCTGTGCTGGGGCAGTGGGTCTCAACTCGGAACACTGGCAAGCGCTTTGCCTCCTGCTTTGGCATGTGTGACCTGAGGGCGGGAACACACTCCCCAGGGGACCCATCCTGAAGAAGCCCCAAGACCTCGCAAATGTATCCAGCTCCACATCAATGGGTCTCTGGCACTCTGATTGCACCTGTTTAATTCTTGCCTCGAACGACCCTGCCATGCCCCCTACGGCAGGGTCACCTCGTAAACTATGCTGGGTCGTGATGCTATTTTCTGGACCAAGGACAGGTGTCATTTGAAGAGCGGCAAGTCGCAGACTGAGGAAGGTCGACTCTGGGTGTCCAGTATGAGCACCTGAGTCGTCCCAGAAAGTGAGAAAACCAGGGCGCTCTCGCGTTCCTCCCCAGTGCGAGAAGCCCCTGTGAAGGCCCCAGCAGGTGAGGGGACGCAACTGAGGATGCTCAGGGACAGGATAAGGAGTGGGCCATGATTATCCCGTCTTCCTTAGCTTGGAACCTGGTCCCCACCACAGGAGGATTTTTAAAAGAACTATTCTGCAGTTTTGTTCACTGTCTCATGGGAGTCCCTTCAACTCCGGTGAGGGGGTGGGGTGCAGCTGAAAATCCACGCTGAGGTCTGGGTTGGGGAGTGCTGCTTTCCTGGCTCAGCTGAGCACAGGGGCCACAGACCGAGAGGGCTTCTAGCCCACATCACAGCTGAGGGCCCCCAGCTGGGGGAAGGGTCCCTAAGTGCCAGGTGGAGCAGACCAATTAAGGGGTTGGCGGCTCAGGGGTGACCACATGCGTCCCAGCTCTCTCCCCAACTTGCCTCAGCCCCTCCAAAGGTGCAGTTAATGGGCAGAGGAGGAATAGTCTACCTGGACCCGGCCAGCCACTGCTGACTTTCCTAACTCTGGATCTGTTTCTAGTGACCAAGGCTGCAGGCGGCAGGGGAAGCGCACCGGGGCGAGGCCGGGGCCCAGACCGAGCTTTCGCCCTGCTCTCGGATGCCTTTCCAGCTCAGGCCTGCAGCAAGACGGTGTCTATCCGGTGTCTGTACAAAGCGAAGCCTCGGCCCGGGACACCCTGCTGCCCCCAGGCACCTGCCCTCCCACGAGGTGCTCACCCAGCCGCCGCGCGACTCCAGCCAGGCGCGGTGCCGCCTCGCAAACCGCGTGGTCAGCCGGCCCACCAGGCGCTCACAGTCGCGGGTCACCTCCTCCGGCTGGCGTCTCCCGGGGTGCTGCAGCAGCGTGCCTGCGAGGGCCGCGCACGTCACCATGCGCAGCCACGTGGGATTGACGCCTTCGGGCAGCAGCGCGTCCATCAGCGTGTCTAGCAGCTCTGCGCAGTTCCCGTTGTAGTTCTGGTAGCGCGCGAAGTAGCCCCGGTACGTGCGCCGCAGCTCCTCGGCCGCAGTGCGCAGCGCGGCCGCCTCCCGGTTGCGCGGCCGCAGGCCCGGGGTGTGGGGCTCGCGCGCGCAGAACTCCAGGTAGTCGGCGAACACCTGCTCCGTGCGCGTGCGCAGCGCGTCCTCCATCCTGCCGCGCTGCGCTGGGCCACGCTCGCTTTTAGACCTGCGCACCGCCGGCGCGTGGGCCCCAGCACCTGGACGCCCCGGCCGGGGTGGATCTTCGCGGCGTGATCGCGCAGCTGCCGCCCAGCATTGAGAACAGGTGGGGCAGTCCGCAGGGCTGGAATGGGCCGGTGCCTTTCTGGAAGGCGGGAGGAGCAAGGCCGCACTGGCTGCACCGCCCGCCTGTACGCGGGCACCTCGGCCGAGGACCTCTCTCCGCTGGGTCACCGGTCACCGTGGTGGAGGTGGCGAGTTCTCTGGACGGGAGACAGCGCCAAGGCCGGCCGCACTCACTCATCACACAGCCGCCCGTAACAGGGTCTCGCTGGGCCCTGGAGACCTGGTGGGGAGCCTGGCCTGTGGCCCTGACTGCGGGGACCCCAGGCCTGGAGAAGCAGGGGCTGACCCTGACCCTGTGACGCCTGGCATCACAGTTTAATCTTCACTGTAGCAGGGCCTGCGGCTGCTTACGTACCCCTCCCTGTACCCCAAGAGCGCTGCTCTCCTTTGAGCAGGGCAAGCCCTCAGGAACCAAGCCCTGGGGTCTGAACTTGGCTTATGTCAGACTTCCTCAGTTCACGCTATTTACCCTAAGGCGGGAATGGCGAACCTTTTAGAGATGTGTGACCAAACTGCAGCCCAAAACTTGCTTATCGCCAAGCAAGCACCTCAATGAATGCAAACAACAACAACAATAATAATAACAACAACAAAAATCAAACAAAACACACACACACACAAACCCCAAAAAACAAAAAAGCGGAATGCTCAGTTGCTAGGGCGATGCAGGGGCGACTTGGCTCGTGGTTCTCTGTGCTTGCTGCTGCCTGTGTGCCACGGATTTGCCACCACAGCGCTGGGGCTTCTTGCTCCTGATTGGACGCTGAATGGCCCAAGATTGGTTCTAGCAGGGAAGTTTCCGGGGTTCGGAGTGTGCAGCAGGCTGAGCTGTCCTTGCATCCTACGAGAAGAGGCCCAGCACCTGGCATGTGCATAGGTGCTATAAGCAAGGGCTACAGCTGAGGTGTCTCATGAACAGCAGGAACTCACAGTACACCGTTTCCTCGACTGAGGGGTCCAAGGTCCCAGATTCTGTGTCTGGGAGGGGCCGCTTCCTAGCTTACAGCCACCTTCTGCTGTACTCTCATGACACATAGGGGCGGGCTCTCTGGGATCCGTTAGAGGGGCCCTCATCCTGTTCCCCAGGGCTCTGTCCTCAGGCCCAGTCGCCTTCAAATCCCATCTCCTAAGACCATCCGCACTGGAGCTGGGGTGTCCGCCTGAATGGGGAGGCAGCAGTAGGCCACTGAATTCTGGAGGTGACAGGAGTGTGCCCTTCCACCTGGGTTGGCAGGCGGGGATCAGGGACAGAAGGGTGAGGTCTGCAGTGACACCCTGTACCTCGGGTCTCACGGTACTCCACGTTGCTCCTGAGCTCGCCGTTCCCTTCTGAGCTCCCTTAGAGCTGCATGGTGCAGGAAGGTGGCTGTGCGTGGCAGTGACGATCACCGATCACCGCGTGGAGACTGCGCACTGCAGAATGAATGGCGGGGGTGGGGGTGGGGGGTGGACCAAAGAGAATGACTGGAGGTCAGGTTCCCGGGTCCGTATGGCTTACTGCTTCCCCAAGCATAGGTCCAACGCTGGTAGGTTTGAAGGAGACAGAGACTCAAGTGGTGTGTCTGCTGTCCTCTGAGGCCAGTCACACATACCTGCCCTGAGTCACAGGCGCTTCTGGTGTTCCGCTGAGGGCTCAGGACTTGAATCTCTGCCAAGAGCTTGGGAGGAGGCTCCCTCCCGTCCTCTTCTCACCCTCCCATTCTCTTCCCTCCTCTCCCTTACCCTGTGAATGGACTCCGATGTGAAGATACCCCTGTCCTGTCCCAATGCCCACCAAAGCATGGCTCAGAGGACAGAGCTGTGCATGTGGGTGTCAGACCTGGCTGCCGCACGCTCAGGCCACAGAACCACAGAGAGGTCCCAGCAGCAGTGACAGGGTGCTGATTATCTATGGGTATGAAATGACCTGGGGTTCTTCCTGTGAATGAGAAGCTCTTGTTTTATGGCTGTAACTAACCATGACACCCCACTCACCTGGTCCACTCTTAAGCCAAAACCCAAATGTGATAATGGGTAAGTCTTGTCTACATGGCTTTTGTTATGGATTTTTTGAGTCAAGTTCTCACTATGTAGTTCAGGCTGGCCAAGGACTCACCAGGTTGGCCTCTAACTCAGAAAGCCTCCGCAGCCTCCTGAGTGCTGGGATCACAGGCATGGACCACCATGCCTGGTTGTTTTTTGTTTAAATATTGAAAATTGCTAGTACTGCCAATTATACCACCATAGTATTTTAATAACATTTTGTTTTTTGGTATGGGGATTGAACTCACAACCTCATGCTTGCTAGGCAGGTACTTATGCCACTGAGCTAAATCCCTAGCCCCTTTAATAACACTTATTGAGATAAATGTAAGAGTTGCCCCTTAAAGGTATATAATCCAGTGGTTTTTTAGTATATTTATAGAGTTTTGCAACTGTCACTTATAATTCCATTACTCCACAAGAGGCCCAGGCCCATTAGCGGCCACTTCACTCCCCAGCTGTGGTGACCACTAATCTATGTCGTTTCCATGGGTTTGCCTATCAGACAATCCATATAAATAAGGTCATGTAGGAGGCCTGGCGCGTACATCTTCAGTGTGTTCCTGCATTCAGAGATTCACGTTTACCTAGGCAGGTTAGGCTTCATTGCTGACCCTAACCTCTGAATGCAGGGCCTGCGTTTTTTAAAAATAGCAGTGCAGGCTGGGGATTTAGCTCAGTGGCATAAGCACATGCCTGGGAAGCCCAAGGTTGTGTTTGATCTCCAGTACCCAAAAAATAAAAATAGCAACCCAAAATCTAAAATGATTTCAATTCTTGCCCTGGTGTTGGCCCTGGGTCAGCCCACTGGAGGCTAGAGTTCCCGTGAAGCTGGAGTCCCCAAAGTTGCCTCGATATCTTGGTTAATGAGGGGTTGGGTGTGTGCAGGAGAGTGCCAACTCGCTGCGGGAAGGGTGGGGGCCAGGGGCTTAGCGAGAGTCCTTGCAGGGCATGGAACAAGCAGCTCCTGGGGACCCTGGTGTACACCCTCACCAGCCCCGTGGCCCCTCAGCTGCCAAGTCTGCATGTGGGGCTCAAAACAGGGGTCTAAGCCTGCTGTGGGCCGGGGTGATGTTTGTCAGCAGGAATCCCTGCCCAGTCACCTCTCCAGGCCTGGGGAAGCCCGGGTCCCCAGTCTGCCCCCTTGGTCCTTGAGCCCCAGGTCCCCGTTGTCCTCCTTTGAAAAGGTTCTCGGTGGTTCACAGGCCCCATGTATTAGTCAGACTTCCCTAGAGAAACAGGATGCTGGGGCATTTATTAGGTGGCTGAGAGCCAGGTCATCCGGCAGCTGCCTAGCCCCAGGACACAGGGCAGGAAGCTGCAGCATCAGCCCATCAACCCGAGGTCAAAGCCAGGCTGCTCGTCGCGCTTCCGGGTGTGACCATGCCTTGAAAGGCCGCAGACACCCTCCTGGACCCTAGGCCAAGACGCCAAAGCCTGCAAAATGGGGCCACGTGTTCTTTTTCTTGTATCCTATTGGTTGATCTCACCACATGTGTGCGGGTCTTCCCTGACAGTTTGCGGCCTGCACGTCAATCACGCACAGGCCCGCCCACCCAGGACCTGGGTCCCTGATTCGTTCAGGTGAAGGTGCCAGGAGGGACCGGTGAGCCTCGTTGCTCTCTTCGGGCACCTCCTGCACCCCAAGGTCTCTCTTCCTTCGTTATCCTGGTCTCTTCCTCCTTTCTCAAGCTCCTCCATGGCCTCCTGATTCAGGAAGGTCTCGCCAGAGGTGCTGGAAGGGGGCTCCCTGGATTGTCAAGGTACCGTAGATGTCTCCGAGGCCTTCTTTTTTTTTTTTTTTTTTTTTTTTTTAACTGGGATAACAGTAATAGGTATCACAGTATATTTTAGTATCTTTATAATAGTTGTTCTTTCAATCACGTATATCAAAATGAGATGAAATATAGAACACTATAGAACTTATCAAAACAGAATATTGAATAGAGCAATTCCATTAATCAGAAAAGAGCAAAACAATAATAAAAATATTTGCCTTCAAAGAAATGGTACAAGGAGGTCCCCCTTATTTGCTATGGTCAACCTCCCAGGAGATGCTCAGATTTCTGGTTCCCATTTGCTAATGGGTGGGGGAGGGGGGAGGATAGAGGAAGTGGGATATTTGACTCTAGACCATGTAGCAGTAGGTTCACTATTGCTAAGCAGGGAGGCAGGATGGTCATTTGTTTTCACAGCGTCCTCAGTTCCAACATAGCGTGGATCTCAGGAGACCCTGCTGATTCTCCCCCTGGAAGGGCTGCATCAATGCAATTTCATGGTTGTTTTGACTTTGGGAAAGAGCCTGAAGTCACAGGGGAGCAGAGCTGGTGAATATGGCAAAGGAGGACAGGGCACCATGTTTTTACGTGCTCCTTCCTCTCAGCGGACAACACTTGGCAGAGGCATTCACTGAATTTTTGACCACACCTCATAGAGACGCTCAGAAAAGAGGATCCAGCACTGCTCCAGAAAGCAGCAAGGATGCTGGGACGGGGGTGTCTGAGGTGAGGGAGGGCTCCGAGGGGCATTCAGGGCAGTGCATCTACTGCTGTACTAAAATGTTTAGCTTAGGCCTTCCTTGTGTACCTCAATTATACCTCCATCTGGAGCCCTCAGCACTTTTTAGGAAGGCAGAAGGGGCGCTGACTCTGAAGTCTGAGGTCCCCTGGCCTAGATAACCACTTACTTGATGACCATGACTAATCAGGTACAGAAGCAGGCAGCTGGGATGGCGGGGGCTGCCGGCTGTGGGGTGCCCATGGCTGTGACTGTTCTTCTCTTTCATGATGGTAAATTGAGGCTGAGATTTAGGAACTAGCATACCTTCTGTGTGCATGGCCCAGCTGGGAGCCCAACTCTGACCAGTCCAGAGTTCCACCCAGCCACACTCGGCCGTAACTCACAGATGAGGCCCAGGGTCAGCAGGAGCCTGCGTACAAAGGCTTTGATTTTTGTTGAGACAAGGTCTTCCTAAGTCACCAAGTTGCCCAGGTGGGGTAAGACTTGCAATCCTCCTGTCTCGGCCTCCCAGAGTGCTGGATGACAGATGTGTGCCGACTGCAGTCCCTGTCTCCAGCTCAAGCTGCCTTCTCAGAGGTGCCCCACTCCTCCCAAACCCTTCTGCCAGCTCGGCCTCTCTGTTGGGCAAGGGGCCGCCTAAGACCCTGCACTCCAGGTACCCACCCTGCTTCACAACAGGCTCTGGCCTGAGTCCCCTAGAAACAAAGAACTGGTACAAAAACCACAGGGCATTATTTTCAGTGCACAAAACGCAGTTTATTCCGGATGTCCCCGTGCAGTCCCCACAGGGTGTAACCCAACCCCCGTTCCATCCACAAACCCGGCCCCTACCCTGAAGAGCAGGGGCTTGGTGGGGTGAACTGGGTGTGACCTGGAACACCAGGCATAGTCAGGGCCACAACCCAGAACTCTAGGACACCCCAACATTCCAGGCCCTGAGAAGCCCACAAGACCTACTTATGCCCCTCAAAAAGTTAAGAGGAAATGAAAGTTTCTATAATAAACAGCTCCTGACATTGCCTGGAAGGAATCAGTGAATTTTAAATAAAGGCAGGGTGCTCTTTTGATCCTATTTCCTTTTGCGGTGGGAGAAGCCAGGACGTCACTGTTTGAGACCTACCCATCCACCTGTGTACACTGTCACAGCTCAGTCGCACAGATGTAACTGACACAGACAGCAGCCACTTCGACTTATTTGTACTAATACTCATCAGCGTTTATTCACTGCAATTATTATTACTGTGGGGTTTTTGAAACAGGGTCTAGTACATAGCCTGGGCTGGCCTCAATCTTCCAGAAATCTGCCTGCCTCAGCCTCCTGAGCGCTGAGATCTCAGGTGAGTGCTACATACCTGGCCTGATCCGCTGCAATGTGGAGTTTGCTCTCAGAAGCTCCTGAAGGAAGTGGCTGTCTACAGAACTCAGGGCCCCTGCAAACCCACCCACTGCCTGGGGGCCACACTGCTTGGGTACTTTATGACTGTTTCGGCTTTCTCTTTCATAGTGTACACGGACAGTTTCGTCAGGCAAAGACAAGGAAGAGCTCACTTGAAAGACAAATTTCACGAAGAAACACGTTTTTGTTTGTTCTTTTTGAGACAGGGTCTCACTGTGCAGGTCAGGCCGGCCTTGACTCACTTTGTAGCCCAAGCTGGTCTCGAACTCGCAACGATCCTCCTGCCTCAGCCCCTCGAGTGTGAAACATTTATAAAAGCGATGCTGTCTGTCTGGTTACATTTGGAATTGGACTCTGCGTCTCCTAGAGACGCCATGCTGGGTCTAGGCACACCCCATGGACCAGGAAGCTTCGTAGAACACCCCAAGAGCCGGCTTCTGGGGTAACAGTGACTCTACTAATAAAGTCGAAATAACCCTAGAAACAGACACACTTCTAGTGCCTAGTGTGAGCAGCACTGCCGTGCAAGTTGCTGGCGCAGTGCTAGAGGCGCACGGATTGGGGGTGGTGGCTCGGAGGTGACACTGGAGCCCATCCTCAAGCAGGCTGCAAGGAACTGAGCTCCTCGCAAGCCACGGGTCCCGGCGTGCCGCTGCCAGCTTCTGTCGCATCTGCTACGCCTCGGGGAGGACTAAGCCCAGACCTTGAAGACAAACGCAGGTTCGGTTCAGCCCGCCACGGTCACTGCACGGTGCTCCGCGGCGGGTGGAGGACGTGCATTCACACAAGCACAGACTGGCACAGGGACCCTGCCGCAGGAGCTGCACAACGTCAGCCCTCGTGAAAACCCCACGTGTCAGCGCCACACAGGGCGCCCTTCCGGCTTCACCGCCCAGGGTGCACCCCGCCCCCGCACGCTGGCTGGATCCTGACGGTGCACGCCGAGGTGGGCTGCGCCCTGGGTTCTGTGTCCTGAAATGCCCACCTTGGGTGCATGGTGTGGGGACAGCGGTCAGGAGCCTGGGCATCTCGTGGGAGCCACAAGGCCACGCCAGTTTGGCAGAACATCTGGGGGCAGCCTGGAGTCCCCGAGGGGCCCGCGGACAACAAACCCAGGAAGAGCGCAGAGGGCCATTTAGGGTCCACCCACTGGCCAGGACCCTCCCCCTGTCACCGCCTCCTGTCACCTGCAGGGAAATAGGCAGGGCTCCTTACCCTCAGGGTGTGGTCCCAGGACCCTGAGCAGAAGGCCGTGCCGTCGGGGGACACGCGCAGGGTGCTGACGCGGTTCTCATGCCCGAACAGGATGGAGACGCGCACGCCTTTGAGCACGTCCCACACGTTGATGGTGTAATCGTTGTAGCCCGCAAAGAGCAGGCGGCCTTGAAGTGGGGCGACAGACGGCACATTGGGGGGCATCCTCCCCTCTCACCTCCCTTCCCTGACCTGCTCGCTCACTTATTCATTCGCCCACACATTTGTGCAATCAACAGGCACTGTGCTGCTCAGGGACCCAGAGGACCTGAAGGTGTTGCGGCCCGGGAAGGACATCAATAGCACCCCAAACGTTAAGGACTTGCATGCACGAGTGTGTGCATGGGTATGTGCACTCGCAAAGTACTGAGGAGACAGCACAGACTGGTCCCTTCTCCCGTGGTCAGCAGCAGCCTGGAAAGGCCAAGGGCAGTGCTTGGGGCAGGGCAGACCTGCCAGGGACAGTGCAGAGGCCATCACACATCCTGCGGGACACAGGGCCCTGGCACATGGAGCCCTTACCGCTGAGGGAGAAGTCCACGCTGGACGCTCCAAAGATAATGCTCTCCTTGGAGTAGATGGCCACTTCCCTGTCCGCCCGGAGGTCATAGAGGCGACACTGAGCACAAAGAGAGGGACAAGCTGGCCGTCACCTCAGGCTCCTGGAGGGGCACCGAGACCAAGGCAGAGTGGGGTGGTGGCTTGTGTGGTTTGAGGGTTGAGAGGAGGACTCTTGATTTCTCGGTATTTCATCCCCGAGCCCAAGTTCCTTCGAATTCTCACAGATCGCTGGAGGAGAGAAACAGCAAATACAAAACCAAAAGCAAAACCCCACCTTCTCCCCCTGATAAAGGACCAGGTCACTGCAGAAAATCAGGAAGGGTTCAGAAATGCGCAGGAGGGACAGGAAAGTCGCTTCCTGTCCTATTTGTGTCTGCTGTGCCCGCTTCTCCCTCTCGGGTACACAGGACAGGCCGAGTGCATCTTTCACACAGACATAACCTTCAGCAAAGATGCCAGGCGGTGGGGCCAGCGAGCATTCTCAGGTGATATCAGCATCCACTAAGTGTTCTGCCGCTAACAACCATTCCCCTCTACAAACACCGTGGGGGGCATTCTCATGTGTAAATCTCACTCATGGGTGCTCAAGTGTGAAAACTTCACTCATCTCCGAGTCTTCTCCTCGGGCAGCTAAGGAGCACATTCCCCAGGGTGACACCGTTCTCCCAGGGAACAGCATGACTAGGGCTTGGGGTGCCCCTGGCTGAGCTCCCCAAATGGAGCTCACCCCATCCTCCCAACTTCACCCCAAGCAATGCCTTTGGGACCCACAGGGCAAAATGATCAGAGGTCATTTTGCAAATATTTTCTGGGGGTTAGTGGCAATGGGGATTTGCTGCTTTGTAGATGGTCTGCCTTTTTTTTGAGACAGTCTCGCTATGCAGTTCAGGCTGGCCTTGAGCTCACTTTGTAGCCCACGCTGGTCTCGAACTGTTGATAATCCTCCTGCCTCAGCTTCCAGAGTGCTGAGATTACAGGCTTGTGCAACCATTCCTGGCCCAGATGGTCTGCATTTACACTGTGTCTCTCGTGGTATTCATCTTACCAAGATGCTACCCCTTCCACACCAAAGGTTTTTACTTTGTCAGCCACATACACAGGAAGAATTTTTCCAAAAACGTGTGTTTTTATATTTTGTTATTTTTTTGGCATATAAAAGTTTGATATTTTCATCATTAAAACTCAGTCTAGGGGCTGGGGATTTAGCTCAGCAGCATAAGCGCCTGCCTTGCAAGCAGGCAGTCATGAGTTCGATCCCTGGTACCGATAAAAACGAAAAAGACAAAAAAAACCCCAAAAAACAAAAAACAAAAAAACACCTCAGTCTATTCCCTTGTGATTTCTTCCAGAGCAGCAAATCAGAGTAAAACCTTTTAATGATATTATTTTATTTTTATGACACTGGGAATTGAATCCAAGTCACACAGTCACATTCCTATCCCTTTTTTACTTTGTGACAGGGTCTTGCCAAGTCCCCAGGTGGGAGAGGGTCTTGCTGTGTCACTGAGGCTGGCCTCCAACTTCTGAAGCCAAGGGATCTTTCTGCCTCCGCCTCCTGAGTGGCTGGGACTATGGAGTGTATCCCGCACCCAAGTGATATTTGACATTTTTGAGAAAAACAAAATTTTTTTTTTCTTAAAAAAAATCGACAATTAGCATTGAAAGTCTTAAAGCTAGGTCTATTTTTGGCTTAGCAAATGCTAAGCTTTGAGAGTTTTAAGAAAATAATGATAAAGGTAAAAAATACTTATGAAAGCAATATTTTAAACATGAAAAAAAACGAAGAAAGCTGCAGACTGCAGACTGGCCAAGTAATTGCGGGCCTGTCTAAGCTTGGAAAAGTACTGAGTTTTTAAGGGAATAAATGGTAGACAATACCTACCAGCATGGGAAACACCCACAAACTTTTCTATGTGAAGAAAGTCACAGTATAAAGCATTTTTTTAAAAAAGGAAGACTGGAATTTATCCACATGGGCCGGCAGATTACAGCCACGTCTGTTCCCTTCAGTTTTCATCACTGAATGGACGCTACCACTGCACCTGGAGAAGTTATTTCTTTCTTGTTTTTATTTATTTATTTATTTTGGTACCAGGGATCGAACTCACGACCTTGCTCTGGCCAGGCAGGTGCTTATGCCGCTGAGTTAAATCCCCAGTCCCGAGAAGTTATTTTCTAAAAAATGCGTGCATCGCTTTTGCACAGGGTCCAGGCAGGGACCGGACACTCACCGTGGCGTCATCGGAGCCCGAGGCGAAGGCGTCCCCGCTGGGGTAGTACCTGCGGAGGGAGGGGACGTCAACAGGAACCCTGCCCCCTCCCAGGAACCTTGGGCGGGGCTCGCTGCAGGCTGGGCCCTGACCCCCTCTGGGTCACAGAGACAGGGACACCGCCTTGCCCTGGGCCTGGCTCCGGGCCCGGGGATGAGAAGTGGGGTGGACACGGGCAGCAGAGCTGACCTGCAGAGCTCCGCTCAGCTGCCTACTCTAGCACAGGCCACCCCCAGCGCAGCTCGTCTGTCGCAGTGCCACCTGGTGGTGACGCGCGGGAAATTGCGCTTGTTCCCTGGATTTTCTGTCCTTCTACCATAGGAGGGTGGAGCCCTGATCCCTTGGGTCCCTCTCTGATCCTCTCAGTCCTGAGGGCAGGGTCCAGCACAGACCCTCTGGTCAGGAAAGACTGATCTGACCTCGGATGGTATCAGCGGTCTCCAAAGTCGCTCTGTTGGAACTCTCCTAGAGAACTGGATCACCACTGGCCCCTGCTGCTGAGGGGTTCTCTCCCAGAGGGGAAACTGAGTCTGGGGCGCCCTGTACTCGGCCGGTGCCCACCACCCTCACTGACCGGACACTGTTGATGTCAGACTCGTGGGTCTCGAAGGCCTGCACACACTGGCCGGAGCGCATGTCCCATACCATGGCCTTCTTGTCACAGCCCTGCAAATGCGGAATTGCCCAGGTCACAGCCACCGTGGTAGCAGTGGCAGCAGGGGGTGGGTATCTGGGGACCCCGAGAACCTCAGTCTCCTGACGTTTTTCCCCCAGCGCCCCAACTCCTCATCAGCCCAGGCTGAAACTGTGCACTCTGTCCTGGGCTCTGGGTGGCAGCAGCCAGAGGTAGGCAGGTGTGGGGTGAGACATCAGTCCATGCCTGAGCTCTGCCCACATCTCAGCGCCACCTTGCCTCAGCAGCCATGGCACCTGCCCTTGCGCCCCACCTTCTGCTTTCAGAAGCAGGCTGTATCCTGCTTCTGAAAGGCCTGCTTCTGAGCAATGCTAGGTACAAGGTGTGATAGAAACTTACAGTGAACATTTACATTAAAAATGATTACATAAAGGCCATGCAGCCATGAAGCTGCCCCCTTCCTCTGGACACAGTCCTCCCATCACCCTTGTCACTTCCTGCAGCAGCTCTGGACTGCTCTTCCCTGAGTGTCATTAGCTGTGCTGTCCTGGCTGCCTTGATGTCCCAGCAGCCCCACAGGGTGGGTGAGGACCCTGTGACAAGCCTGCGTTTCCGCTGAGGGCATTTGCTGGCAGCATCACTGCACTTTTGATCTTGTATCATAAAAACCCTCAGGAAAGGGCACTCCAGAGCTGCTGCCAAGAGTGAGGAGAAGGTGGGGTCAGTGTGAGGAGGAGGGTTTCTGGGGACTCGGCATTGCCTCTCTTGCTGTAATCATTTTTAGGCACTGAGCACTTGCTATGGATCTAGGCCACACCCTGCAGCAGCAGCTGGCCAGAGCTTTTAGACAGAGCATCGAAGGTCCCTCTGTGGACTGCCAAGTGTCACAGGTGGGGGCAAAGGGGGCCTGGAGCCCAGGCTGTGTGTGTGTGTGGGGGAGCCGCGGACGCTTGGGCGCCTCTTCCAGGCAGGCTCAGCTCGCCCCCGAGATGTTGTCAGGGCTCGGCCATTACCCCAGATACAAAAGTATTCCCAGTCTCCGAGGGCGCCAGGTCCAGGCACAGCACGTCGGCCCCGTGCCCGTGGAAGCTCTGCAGCAGCTGCCCGCTCTCCACATCCCACAGCGCGCATGTTCCGTCCCCACTGGCCGTCAGGATCTGCCGAGGGAAAGGAGAGGGTCGGGGTAGGGTGCCCGGGTCCTGGCAGATCCCCAGCTGCGTGTCTGTCTATGCCCCTGGCTCTCTCCATGACTGGCACCTGGCTGGGTCCAGTGCAGGAGGCACCGGGGGCGTCTGTGAACAGCCTCCCTCTCTTTCACTGCTTGCTTTTCTTGTCTTTTTTTCTTTCTGGGGAGGGAGTACTAGGATTTGAACCTAACGCTTTGTGTAAACTTTAACCCCTGAGTGACACCCCCAGCTCTTGTAAAAACATTGTGAGACAAGGTTCTGCTAGGCTGCTCTGGCTCTAACTTGCTATCCTCCTACCTCAGCTCGTTAGTAGCTCAGATGACAGGTGTGTGCACCACCTCCAGCTACCGTGTGCTTGTTTGATGGCTGCAGGGCACACACCGCAGCGCTGGTTAGAAAGGAGCTCGGTAACCTGGGACAGCCAGAGGTGGGATGGTGGGGGTGGATCTGGGTTTTGCTCCTCACCAGTGGAGGCAACTCCCCACCTGGGGGCCCTGCCCAGCAAGCTGAGGACCACACCCCGGGCCTCACCTGCATGTCGGAGTTGGTGAAGCTGCAGGCCGACAGGTAGTTGGTGTGCATGGCCACCGACTTCTTCTTGGCCGCCATGTTCTCATTCTTGTCAAACGTCAGTGGATACACGGAGCATTTGTTATCCAGGCCCCTGGGGAAGGGCAGTGCAGGTCAGGGAGCAGGCGTGGCCTGGGGACCTCTCCCACCCTGCACCCTGCACCCCGCACCCCTGCTTCTGTAGCACCCTACAGTCAGTGAACTTTCCCTTTCCTGACTTTCACTTTAAAGATTTCCAAAAGCCATACAAAGACTGAAAAGTAAAATCAAAATCTGAATATCCAAATCCTTTCACCAGGGGTTGTGGAAGGGAATCTCGCACCCCATCTCTATCACATCTGAGGAAATTCACAAAGCCCCGCTGTGTCCTCGAATCAGTCACTGATGCAGTGCCCCCTTGTCCTTGGAACCCAGGGTCCAAGGGATGCCACACCTTAGTGCTTTAATAAGACTTTCCCACCCACACACATGCTCTGCCTATTCCTGTGTCTGTGGCAGGAGATCGCAGGCCCCTGGGTCACAGGCTATCCTTGGATTTGTCATGTTTCATTGTGGCTGTTCCTAGTATTTTATTTTTGGTTTTTCAAGACAAGGTCTTGCTACATAGTCCAAGTGGATCCAATGTAGCCTAGGCTGACCTTGAACTTGCGGTGATCCTCCTATCTTGGCCTTCCCAGTGCTGGGATCACAGGCATGCACCAGCTCTCTCCTTTGTATTTTAAAAAATGCTTTCACAAATAGGCACACTTCCCACTTCCTCTGCTTTGGTTCTCATCACACCCAGCGAGGTGGCCAGCACGAGAACTGACCGCCTCCGTGTGCAAAGGCAGGAACCTGGAGGGACCGGGGAGGGCTGAACCCTTTCATAGGGTCCTCTCTTCCTTGTTGCCCCCATCCTTGTGGACTCTGCTGGTGCTGCTGAGCGGCAGGGTGGGGATAACCACACAGCATGGCTCCTGGACGTGCTGGGGGTGCTACCCACTCTGTTAGGTCTGCACGGAGCTGCCTGTCCAGCCCACCTGTCCAGTGCACCCACCTGTGACTCAGAGCCCCGGACCTGGTGTTTCACTTTTCTTACTTCTCTGTTTTTTGAGACAGGGTCTCACTCTGTCCTGTCATCCAGACCACTGCTGCCCTGGCCACAGTCCACTCTGTACTATCATCTCTACCACACCGAGGGGCTGAAACACCACAGGAGAAATCTCTGCACCAGCCCACAACTGTCTAATGCAGGTCAGGGAATTCTGCGTGTTCGGTTGTGCTGCCAGCCCTGTAAACCCAGCTCCAGAAGGGAGCAGGCTCTCTCCCTACCAACCTCGATGTTATCCCCAGTTAACTGTGGTCAAGAATTTCCCTTTTCATGTCTGTGTAGTATCCCATTGGAGTCACATATCACAATTCATCAAGAATTCCTTTTTGAATATACTTTTTTCTTTTTTCAAGAAAAATGCTACAATCAATGTCATTGTTTGCATGGCCTTTAGATCAAAGGCTAGAAAATGTTCGAGGCTTTTGCAACATTCCACAGTTTGCCTCCCAGTCCCCGATAGCTCTGACCTACAGCCGGCTAGTCTGCTAGGACGCTGTTGAAAGAGCTCTGGGGTTCCTGTCAGAAGCTGCGGGGAGGCAGGGATAACACACTGCGAAACTAGAGCCACCCATCAGGTCTGCACGTGCGCAGGTGGAGACCAGGAGGGCGTGGAGCTCACCCGCAGGCGATGGCGCATCCCGACGGGGCGTAGGCGCAGGCCATCACCCAGGTGCAGGGCATGGTCACCGCGTGCTCCTGCAACACAGCGCGCGGTCAGTGACGAGAACCACAGGACAACCACGGGTCAGGGTGGTGGCTGGGGCTGCAAGGGCTCAGCCTCCTGCCCTCCACTTAGCTCATCTAGAGGCTGCTGTCCGGGCCACTGGACCCCGGGCGCAGGGACACTGGCTGTTCCGCGTGCACATCAGGGACGCCCGCCAGCCACAGGCCTGCATCCCGCGCCACCTGACCCCCGCCTCCTGCACGCCCAGTCCCCTCCCCACTAGACCGGGTTCGCCCGGGGCAGCAGTGAAGGCTCCGGTCCCACGCGCGTGGACGGAAACACAGGCGCCTGAGTACCACGCCCGGCTCCTGGCTGCGGCTCAGCCGCTGTGGTCCCCAGGTGCAGGTGACATGAGGGTCTGCGGCCCGACTTGGGGGGAGGGGGGGACGGGGAAGCCGCTCCTGGTTTTGACCCCGCCCCGGGCGACTCCAGAGTGAGCTGAGCCATGGGACCGCCCTAGGCCTCCTGTGCAACCCTGGCCCCTGCCAAGTGGCGCCCTGGCCTGAGCCCTGGGAGGCAGTGCAGAGCGGCCTGGCCAAGGTGGCAGGCTGGGTACCCCAAGCCCGGGTCCCCTCAGCTCACATCCCGCCGCAGAAGAAGCCAGTGAGGCTGAGAGTGCGAACAGGACCCGCTCTCCTCGCCACCAGGCCCAGACCCCGCCATTGGGTCCCAGCTCACCTTGTTGGTGGTGAAGGAATCCCAGACGATGACCTTCCCGTCCTGTGGGGGGAGGACAGCGTGGGCTCAGGCCGGGCTCAGACCTGGCACAGATGTGGTTTTTATGCCCAGACCAAACCTGGATGTGGCCATCGCCCTCTCACTGTGAAAAGATGGACAGGGACCCCGAAGGAGGACGGACAGGGACCCATGGGAGGACTGACCTGACGGGACCCTGTGGGCCTTGGGAGCCCCATTCTGCACCGCCTCACCCTTCCTGTCATCCCCTCGCTGGCACACCCCTCAGGATCCAGAATCCTCTGCAAGGCCCTGCCGTGTCCCACCTGTGACCCGCTCTCTCCTTGTCACCACGGCACCCTCTGGGTGTTGGGACAAGAACGCTATCACCCCCAGGGAGGGAAGCCCTGCAGGCCCAGTCCCCTAAGGCAAGGCTGACTCCCTGGTGGGGGTGCCGCCCACCAAGAGTTCCCTATTCCCATGCTGGGCACAGCTGGGACCCAAAGTGGCGCGAAGCTGGCATCAGGACTCCCTGGTCCTCATGGCTTGGCTCACTCCTGCCTCGAAGGCCAGCAGGGGCAGCCAGGTCCTGGGTTGCAACCCTGGTCCCAGCATGCACTGACAGGTGCTGCCCACATCTCAGCTTCCTGTCCCAGGATTGCAGGTCTGCACACTGGGGGCCCCACACGGTCTCCCTGGGACTCAGCTCCACCTTGTTAAGGGGGAGGCTAGCAAAGACGATTCAAAGTCATCTCCTGCACCCCCTCTCCCCACATCTTTCTCCCCCTGCAGAGCAGAGCAGGTGTGGTGTCCTCAGGCAGTGGTGCAGCCTGCCTTCCTTACCCCAGCTGGCAGGACTGGGGCTCAGCACAGAAATTTCACTCAGGAGAGCGAGGCAGCTACCTGGGAAGCTTGCTGACCACTTTTTAAAAATAAGCTCTCAAAAAAGACAGATTAGAAAGAAATGTTCCAAAGCAGTGATGGCTGGAACAAGGCAGTGAATGTAAAATCCTTTCGTTCTGTTTCCCAGTGTTTCTTTAACAAGGTGGGTGATACATTTATGAGGGATGAGGTCTGGGAAGCTGAGGCAGGAGGATTGAAAGTTCAAGCCCGGCCTGGGCTACACAGTGACCTAGCAAGATATGTCTCAAAATTAAAAAGCACTGGGATATATGGAGCTCAGTGTGAAGGCCCTGGGTCCAATCCCTGGTACTGCAGCTAAGAGCACAAAAAGACAAAGTAAAACGCGAGTGCCATGTGTCACCTTAGGTTTGCAGGTAACACGGGAGGCCAAGAAGACCGGTCTGGAGCAGTGCACTCCACAGCACGCGAGGTGTGCGCTGTGTGAACTCTGCAGCATGAGTGAGTGTGTAATTACACTTTTGAATGTTCCTTTCGTATCTGCAAGACTTGGTAAGCCCAGGCTAAGAGTCATGGGTGGAACCATGGCTGTGCGTTCCCTCGAATTTGGAGAAAGTTCCAGAAGCTGTGCTACAGAGGTGAGCACGTGGAGGAACTTTAAAAACGGGTTCACGATAAAAAGTCAAAATCTGCAAGAGTGATAAGATCCAAAATATACAACGGATATTGCAATAATGAAAGAGAAAGAAAGTGCTCAAAAGGACAGAACTTCTGGGCTAGGGGAAAGGAAGAAAGGAAAAGATTATATGTATGTAGATATACATATGTAACTTTATGTATGTGTATGTACGCTAGATAGACAACTATGCTGCTAATCTCTTAGTTCATCAAAAAGAGCAGTTTGTGCTGTCACTGTTTGATCATTTTTGTGTCTAGATTTTGTAACCTGAACAACTTCTAAGATAACAATGTGCAATATATATTATATAAATAATATGTAATATATTATATATATATGCAATATAGTGATAATTCCCTACTTTTTTCTTTTTTGAGATTCTGGACCATTTCTATCCTCATCTATCCAGGATGCCTTGCCACTCACCCAGGAAGACATGGTCCACACTGCTGCTGCCTCTCCTGATCCCAAACCTCCTGAACCAGAGAGGCACGGGAGAACCCTACATGCTCAGCCTCACCCCTGAGGCATCGGCCAGATGAGCCCTGCTGAGGACAGCTCTCTGTGCCTCAGCGGTGACCGCAGAGCCACCCGTCACACGCCACGTACCTGGGAGGAGCTCACAATCCGCCTCTTGTCCCGGCACCAATCCATGCACAGCACCTTGTTCCCGTGGCCTTTGAGGGTCCGCCTGGTCTTCATGACAAACTGGCCCAGGGCCTCCACCCGCTCTGCCACCTGTCGCACTGGGGGGGCAAGGTCAGTCAGGCTGGGCTTGGGCACGGGGCAGGGGGTACGGTGGCCCCTCAGAGGGCCCAGGGTGTTTTTCTGTCTGTCGTGCCTTTTGCCACGCACTCTGTTAGGATCTTGTTCCCTGTGGGGAAGACACTGTTTTCCAAAGCACTTCCTATGTACACAGTGTGTAAGGGAAAATATGGTGCATATTTACATTTTTAAAAAAAAAAATCTATTACAATAAAAGATGCATTGCCACTAAAAGTCCCCCTACCCTGTCCGCACACACACACACCCCACCCATTGTGCTTGCCACGGCTGCTCTGGAGTCCCTTCTCCTGAGTGTCTTTACGACACGTGATCAGAAATACAGCAAATGCTGCCGCTGAGCACCGGCCAATGGGAAGGCAGCTCCTAAAAATGTGACGCCGTGTTCTCCTCACCTCACTCACTGCATCTGGCACCGTGTGACTTCCAGCTCTTCAGCCGAAATGACCACGAAAGGGAGATGCTTTGAATCCATTCAGCCCATCAAGGCAGCTACAACTATGCAGCTGAAGACACTCACAAAAGAAGACTTGGCTTCAGCCACTGGCAAGAATGATGGCCAAGTGTGTTGGAAGCAAGGGAGGACAACCTGAGGGGACTCACGGAAATATGTCCTCTACAGTATTAAAAGAAACACCGAAATGTTCACCATGTTTTTCGGCCACACCACAAATACTGAGAAACGAATAGACCACATGCGGGATTCAGCTTGGCACCGCCTGGGCCAGGGTCTGCAAGGCCAGGCCGGGCCCTTCCCGAGAGCCTCCCTGGGCTTCAGCGGGTGGCTCCCCAGGACCTGGAGAGAAAGGTCATCAGAAGGGAAGCCCTGCCGGGACCACAGGAGAGGGAGCAGACCCTAGGGACGCACCCGGCCCAGGTGAGGGCGACCTCGGCAGCTCGCCTCCTTCCTTGGAACCCTCAGACTGGCTGGAAGGGTGTGTGGATCTGTGCTTGCAGGAGCTATGACAGCTGTGACATCTGTTACCTCCCCTCTGAGAGATACACTGCAGTCTGAACCATGACCACAGCACCCCTCTGGAGAGCTTTCCTGCCCTGCCTGGAGAGCTTCACTGTCCTGCCATCTTAAATGACCACAAAACAGTGACCAAAGTTGGTGCTGAAGTGGAAGTTGGTGCCTCATCTTGTGGGCCCCAGGAACACACTGCTGGCCCATGGTGACCATCACAGCAAAGCCCAGCCCAGCCCTGGGCCACACTCTACAATCCCCTGGCCCCCTGCTCTGCCTGGTCTTGTTCAGGGCATGATGGAGCTGAGGTCTAGCTCAGGCTCTGTAGTAGGGACAGGAGGACACTGTGTCCCCCATGAGGTCCATGCTGCAGCTAGCACCAGCCAACCGGACCCGTGGGCAGCACCCTGTAGGTGGGACCTTCTGAGACCGATGTCACTGTGATGCTTGGGTGCCTTTCGCACCTACACTATGACATCCACCCGTGGATCCTGCAGGGCTGGTCAGTGACTCCTGGGGGCCTCTCCAAGCCCTCACCCTGTTTTCCAATCCAAGGAGCGGCTTCCTTTCCACACTTTATTCATTTGTTCCCATTCACAGGGACACAGGACACTTACCGTGCTCAGCAGCTATGCTGACAACTGTCACGGGGACACTGCTGCCCACAGAGCCCATCTCCATCCCCAGGTGACCTCCCGACCTCCTCCATCCTCAGCTCTTCCCACCCAAGCCTGTGCTCCCTCGCTGACTCACCCTGCAATCAGGACCTCCCTGGAAGTCTCACTTCCCCTTAGGTACCTACTTCATTCTGATGAAAGAATAAAGGGGCGCACAAGACTGAAACCCAAGCTGTAAAAATGTGTTAGGCGCAGGGGTGCCCACCTGTAACCTCAACTGCTGGGGTGCGGAGCTGGGGCAGGAGGATCATAGGTTAAAGGCCAGTTTGGGCAACTTAACAAGACCCTGTCTCAAAATAAAATTTAAAGAAAAAATGAGGAGCTGGGGATGCAGCTCCGTGGTAGGGACCCTGTGTAGCTGGCATGTGGGCGGCCCGTGTGCTCCTTCCCTTGCACTGCAGAAAAAAAAAAACAAATGAAAACCACACCGGGGATCCCGCAGAGTGCTAGCTTGAGGATCAGTCACTGCGCCACGGCCTCCAACAGGCGAAGCGTAAGGAGGCTTATTATCACCACCCAGGGCACACGAGCCAGCGGATTCCAGACACACCCTTCATAAGAGCCCGAGGACTGAGATTCAAAGCCATCGGGAACTCGCTGCCCTTACAGGCCTCTGACATACGCAGTTCCAGGGCACCGCGCGCACTGTGTGACCCGGCACCTGGAAGCTTTCCTGGGTATTAGTGTTGCTTCTCTCCGGGTGGCGCCCCCTTAACCACAGCTTCCCACCATCCTCTTAAAAGAAAAGAGGCCTCGCTGGCAAAACTGGGCTCCCTTACGTAACCCTAACCTGCACACATCCAGCCACCGATTCCTTTCTCCCACTGTGCTCCTTCCCACACACAGAATCACTCCCCACCCACGTCGTGCAGTTTCTATCTGCCAGATCTTGCAACCATTCAATGAAAGAATTTAAAACATTTTAGAAACGGGAAATAAGTGAAAATCTAGAAACCAGCTAAATGCATTCCGCAGGTTATTTGTGGGTGCAGGGTTTGGGGCAGAGGGGTGCCCCCCTTGCCTCATGACACCCATCCTTCCTGGGTATAATTTTTCATAGACACGATGAGCACCTTATGGGCTCCCTGCCAGGAACCCCCACTGCTGGAACTTGGATGCTCAGGGCTCAGGGCCGCATGGAGCAGGGCAGGCGGGTTCCGAGCAAAGCCCAGGGCTGCCAAACCACAGCTGCCTTGCCTTCTCAAACCCTCGGTGGGCTGCCGGATGCTACTTGTCTCCAGCCCAGCATGAAGTGACAAGTGTCAGCTGTGACATTCTGCAGCCGAGGACCCAGCTGTGCTCCCTGATGTACCCACAGGAGCAGACCATCGGCCAGCGTCCTATTCCGTCCTAGTCAACCCAGGTGGCTGCTCAACCTCTTTCCCATCTGGTCTGTTCCTTTCCTCTCTTCCTCAGCTGCCAGGAGAAGTCACTGGCACTGGGGACACATGGGGACACATGGGGACACTCGGATGGCTGTGCTCAGATGCTCCACTCTGCTGCCTTCTCCACCCTGAGCCTGGCAAGCTCCCTTCCCTCGAGTGGGCCCTGCTGCACCCCGGACTCGTCTGCCACTGTGAACCCCAACCCCACTCCGAGGCCTGGGGAGATTCTGAAGGAGACGAACAACAATGCGTCTTTTACACTGTGGTCTACCTATTCTTTAAAAATTTAAATAGTCACTGTACTTTTTATTATAGCTCATATTTTGTGCAGGACCACATATCAGAACTTAAATCACAGACATTTACACAGTGAAAATATGCCAATAAGGTGTTTCTTAACACTTTGCACAGTTCAATTAAAAACGAACAGAAAAAAAGCACTAGAGCACAAACAAACTCTATATGATTCTGTTTTTTTCAGACAGCATCTTGCTACGCAGTTCTGGCTGGCCTTGAACTCATTATGTAACCCAGGGTGGCCTTGAACTCATGGCAATCCTCTTGCCTCAGCCTCCCAAGTGATGGGATTACAGGTGTGTGCCACCATGCCTGCCTCTTAGCCTTTTGATAGTCACTACATGGCAGACCAAAGAATGAAAGAAGAAAAATTATTCAAAACTAATTTTAGAAACTCATTCAGTGTGGCTGGGCACAGTGACACACAGCTACCTGAGAGGCTGAGGCAGGTGAGTTGCAAGTTTGAAGCTGCCCTGGGCAACTCAACAAGACCCCTCCTCAAAATAACATTAAATAAAAAAGGCCAGGGATGCAGCCTGAGGCGGAACGACTGTCTGAGGTGCAGGGCCCTGGGTCCGATCCGCCCTGCAAGAGAACGAGGTACTTTTCACTTTGAAAAACTATTTCGTTGCTGGAAGAGCACAGCACGAACATTTCCCAAATTAAAAAGGCATCACTGGGAGCAGGCCTGATGTCCCCCCAGCAAGTGTGAGGCCAGAGACAAGGTAGGGCACGGTCCAGGGTGTGGGCAGGGGTCACAGCACCCGGCAAAACACCCCACACACCACTTCCCGCTGTACAGCACTCCTGTGGCTTTAGATCTAGGTTTTCTGCGGTACTGGGGACTGAACCCCAGGCCTCACACCTGCCCGCCCATCGGTGCTCACCACTGAGCCTGTGAGAGACCTGAGCTGCCTGAAACCACCCACCAGCCACAGGAGTTCTGCCCTGAGTTGTGGGGGCACGGCTGCACGGGGTTAGGGTGTTGTCCTCTCTGGCTGTGTGGGAAAGCTCAGGTTCGCAGCCTCTGAGGGCAGAGGAGACCGCAGCAGAGGACACCTGGCTCTCACTCCTAGCCAGGGCACTGACCACCAACCTAGGCACGTAGCAGTCTCCCAGTCAGATTTACTGCTTGAGAGGTCTTTGTTCCACCTCTCAAGGCCTTGCTTGCTTTTGGGGGCTTTCACCTCAGATATGCCCTCCACTTCCTATACACCCCTGGATTACTAAGTCCGGAGAAGTCTTTGTCTTAGCTCCATGGAGTCCTCACCTTCCAGGCTCCCCCAAACCTCACTGCGTTCTGCCTTTCATTTGTCCTTTTCTGTGGGAGCTCAGGAGCTCCTGATACCAGGTTCCCCTGGAAGGGCTGAAGGACACAGCAGCGCCCGGCAGCTCCCTACAGTGACATTAAAGTGTCTGCAGGGGTTTGCTAAGGACAGTCTTGAGTCACTGGAGTGAGGCTTGGCACGGTGGGGAAGTGAGGCAGCCGGGCATCTGCTCTCTGACCACCATGGCAGCAGGGGCCAGAGGCAGCACTATGGGGAGGGACCCTGTAGGGACACAGGAATGATCTCCGAAACAGGGGAGTCAACCAACACAAGGGGTCTGGGCTGATCTAGAAGGTTGCTTTTCCTGTATTTTTCCCTCAGCATAAAATTAGAATGGGCCAAAGTCCAGGCAGAAATGCACTAGAGATAAGCCTTCTGGGATGCATTCATTTATTTATTTTTTGTACCGGGGATCAAACTCATGACCTCGCACTTGCCAGGCAGGCACTTATGCCACTGAGCTAACTCTCCAGCCCCTTGGGATGCATTTAGAGCAGGCAGGAAAGTGGAACAGCTCTCAGGGTGAAGCCTGACGGGGCCACCTGCAGTCTGCAGCTCCTGGGAGATGATGCACTGCTGTGTCTGGGGCTGCTCTGCTCCCCAGCAGAGCTGGACGCTGCCAAGGAGCAGGGACTCTGGATGGACAGGAAGGTGGCCCAGGGGCTGTATCTGTGCTAACCTTGGCCCCTGGGCTCTATCTTCTGCACCCCTGGCAAGTGCCAAGTTAGACATCCTTACAGTTGAGCGGCTGCTTCCCTCTCCTTTCCCCCAGTCTTAGTACCCACCGGGACCACTGCTTGTTGCAAACGGTGGCAGCACAGAGGTGCAGCTCTGCCTCCTGAGTCCTTCTCTGGACCTGGTTTCCTGCCTGCCTCTGGACACATCTGTCACACATGCATGTGAGCCTCCTGTTGAAGCCGATGGGACTCCGGCTTGTATAGACCATCGGCTGTTTTTAGCTTTTAACCTAATGGAAATCTGACATCTTCCACACGCATGTACATGGACTTCCTTTTTGTTCCTTGAAGTGCAAACTGCAGCTTTTTAGCAGGCACTCAGACAGGGAAGGGAGGGAGCAAGGCTGGGTCACTGCCCCACAGATGCCCACATCCAGTCCCTGACTCCTGACAACGTCCATGCTCTACAGGGATGCAACGGGTCAGGTGTATGTAGGTGTGAGGTCACAGATGTGGTTAACGGGATCCCAAGATGGGAGCTTGTCCTGGCCCAGCCAGGTGGGCCCAACAGAACCACAGGTTCCCGTGAAGAGGGAGGTGCAGGTCAAGGTCAGAGATGTGACCTTGAAGCTGTGCTCACAGTAACGTGGGTCTTGGGCCCAGGACCTCAGATGCCTCTGGAGGCCAGGCAGCAGGGTGTGGGCTCTTCCCCTCCGAATCCTCGAGGCCCTGCTGGCACCTGGGGACATCTGACCTCCAGGGCCACAGCAGCACAGGAAACCAACACAGGCTGGCGGCACAGCACTGCAGACACTGTGGGGCGCGGGCAGAGGTGACAAGGACACAGGGAGAGCAGGCGTGCAGGGGCAGGGACAACCCCAGGGAGCCACTTCCTGTTCATGGTGGCCCGGGGAGGATACCAGGATGAGGGCCCACAGAGGGGATGCTGGCTTCAGGGTGACAGGGAGGGCCAGATGATGGGTCAGGAACCTTTCGATTTCTACTCCCAGTGTAGGAACCCTGATCTTCTTGATTGACTTATTTTTATTTTTAAATTTTATTTATTTTTGTCTTTTTGAGGCAGGGTCTCGTTGTGAAGTTCAGGCTGGTCTTCAACTCACTTTGTGTCCAGGCTGGCCTTGAATTCACAGCAATCCTCCTGCCTCAGCCTCCCCAGTGCTGGGACTACAGGCATGCACCACTGTGTGTTTTGGGTTTTTAGGCAAGACTTTGGACAAATCAAACAGTAGAGTTGGCCCAGGACTCAAGAGCATTTTAAATCCGAAAGTCCCTGGCAAACTGGGATGAGCCGTCACCTCCATCTATGGCTGAAGGGGTTTCGCTGATGAGCAGGGGCCTCAGGGCCATCTGTATAGCCACAATGCGAGAGTGCACAGCAGCCAGGCGCAGAGGTACACATGTGTCTCTCCGGCTCTCTGGGAGGCTAGGGCAGGAGGATCCTTTGCTTCAGCTGGGTGTGAGGCACTCTAGTCAGTGAGCTCCAGCCTCAAAATAAAGGTAAAAGAAGGCTAGGGACTTCGCTCAGTGTGAAGGGCCTCAGAGCCCAGTACTGAAACAACAACAAACAAATAACCCAGACCAAAGTAGAGGCCTCGGAGCCTTCTGTCCAGGAATAAACCACAGCCGCTGGCGTCCAGCCAACGCCCTGACCAGGTTCTAGAAACCTCACTGTGGCTTCAGTTTGGAAGGATGGTCTCCGGATGCCACAGGGAAAGTGCTGTCAGGCCTCTGTGAAGCTGGCTGGGTTACGGATGAGGGACATGGACCTATGGCCCACGAGGCTGCTTTCGTAGGCTGGCATGGGGGAGATGCAGGCCAAAAGGACTCTGCTGCCCCTGCTCCTCCTTGGCCCAGGAATCCTTCTCCTCCTGCCCCAGCTCTGGGTCACCTGCTCCAGAGCTGCTGGCCGGCAGAGGTAGCCTAATTCCTAAGCTGAATGCCGGCCACCTGGAGCTGACATGTTCCTGTGTCAAGCCCATCTGCCCTTTCTCAGGGGTACATACTCCTGTACCCTCATGTGGCCCTGGCTGCACCTGTGTGGGACTTTGTAGGGGAAGAGGCAGCTCCCTGTCCCCATCTGGCTTGGAGCTGAGGATCTGCTGCTCAGGGAAGAAGGTTCGGGGGCCAGCATGGTAGGCTGACTGGGCTGTCCCTGTGACAGGAGTAGAGGTTCCTGCAACCCTCAAACAACCAGCGGCCCCAGCTCATTAGGGTCAAATCCTCTGTGCACCTGAGGTCACTGCCTTCCGGTCTCCCGCCTCACCTGCCTCCCATGGGACACCCTCCTGTCCTTGCGCACTCCCCAGGGACCTGTGACAGGGCCCTGTTCCTCAAAGCACCCCCTCCAAGCTCCAGTCCAGGGTTTGTTCCGTGGACCACTCTGGTGCAGCCTGGAGTCAAAGGCAGCTTCACCCCCCCCCCATCCTCCATCCTCCCATCTGCCTTGCCTAGGAACCAGGAGAGCTGCTTTCCTGTGAGCTGGCACAGGCTGGGGCAGGGGCATTCTGGGGTCCCCTGCTGGGGAGCTGCAGGCCCCCATCCCCCAGGGCAGGTCCCACATTCCAGAGAAGGCTGCCCTGCTGAGCTCCTGGGGACACCCCACTGGGAACCCCAGTGGCCCGCCAAGGCAGACTGGTAGCTGTGGCCTCATAATCATCAGCCGGGCTCCTTAGAGCTCAAGCCTGGCCAGGTCTGTCTACCAAGAGGTGAGCTAGGGGAACTCACCGCCAGGTATCCACCTGGTATTCAAGGTGTCCCCACATCTGCAAGTCCCACCCCCCGCCTCCCCACATTCGCCCCCTCCTTGTCTTCGAGTGTGGGGTTGATGTGGCCCATTCAGTCCTCCCTCAGTTTCCCCCGCAGGGGTCCTCAGGCCCTGTCCTGCCAATGGAGACTGAACGGACACCCGGGGGCGGGCATGGCACAGGGAAGCGTTTCCGGGGCGACTCCCGGATAAGAAGCAGCACACAGACTGGAAGCCTTGTCCCCCTCTTCCTATTTCGGAGACAGCCAGAGTCTGGAGCGCCCCCGGAGGGGCCCGGGTCCCTGAGGAGTCAGGGTTGTGACCTCCGCCCCGGCTCGCAGCCCGCTGCGGCCAGCACTGGGACCCCAGAGCCGCAGCAGAGGCACCGGAGGCTCAGCGCCCCGCGGAGGGCGCGCTCCTCCCCGGAGGGAGCCGGCGGGGTTCGCGGCCAGAGGCGAGGGACCCCGGCCGGGGCCCAGAAGGGTCACGACCCGCGACCCCGCACCCCATCCGGCTGCGGCCGCCTCCCGCCAGGGTCCACGCAGTCAGCGCGCCGGAGACGCCCGGTGGTACCCGGGATCCGGGCCCCCTTCCCTCCCCCTCTCACTCCCCCTCTCCCGTTTCCTCCTCCCTCCCCTCCCCCGCCCCTCCTCTCCCCGCCCGCGAACCCCCACGCCACACTCACGCTCCACGTCGTGCAGCTTGGCGCGCTCCTCCTCCAGCTTGCCCTTCAGGCTCTCCGCCTCGCTGCGCAGCGCCGCCAGCGTCTCGCTCTCATGCAGCCCGTCTGAGGCCATCTTCGGGGACAGCGGGGACACGGCGTGAGCCAAGGGGACTCCAGCGCAGGCCCTGCCCCTCCCTCACCTGTGCCCACGGGCCGCGCCTGTTTACACCGTGCGGGAGGACAGGAGGATCCTGAGCCCTCCGGGGAAACTGAGGCTAGGAGACGCCGCGAGGCTCGGTGGGCACGTAAGGTGCAGGCCGAACCGGGCCCCACCTGGGTCGCCCCGTTCCCGGGGAAGCAGGGGCACTACCCCTCACCCTGGCGGATGCGCGAACCAGATAGAGAGCACGGCCCAACCTGCGCCCCCCCGAGCGGTGGGGACACAGATGCGCACGGAGAGCGTCCGGGCTCCGCCCGCTCGTGCGCATGCGCATTCTCTCCGAGGGCCCCAGGGCTCGGGGCGGAGCTGTGTGCGCAGCCCTCCCGGCGTCTCCAAAGTCCCCGCGCTAGTTCTGCGTGGGCGGCCAGGTCACCATCAGGCTCTCTGCTGTCGGGGAGCCACCGAGCAGGCACAGTGATTCCCGCGCACAGAGGGGAAACTGAGTCCCGGGTCACTCCTAGAGGGGAGGGGTAGGGCCCTGGTTGGCGCAGGGAGAGGCACTCGGAGGTGTCCCCGAGGCTGCCGACGCCCCAGTGCCATCCACAGGAAGGCATTCAGGTGACACACAGGGTGACCGGCATCGGCCTCCCCTGTTGGGCTTCCGGGCGGGCATCCGGTGCCTGCGTGGTCTGTGGATCGCGTCAGTGGCGCTCCACGCTGGCGTGTAAGGGTCGACTTTAGCGCTCGCGCGGGTGGCTTAGCCACGCAAGGATGCAGAGCGCCTGCTCGCGTCGTGGGGTTCGCTTGGAGGTGGAGCAGCCTGGGCCGCTCGTATCGGAAACGGTCGTGTTCTAGGGTCGCCATGCTTAGGATCCGGCCCATCAAGGGGCTGCCTAAATGCGGCCCCAAACGCGGGGTGAGAGGCACTACAGTCACCGTCTGCGCCTTCCTCCAGAGGACTGAATGCGGGGACCCCAGGGGCTCCTGGTGCAGGTGAGGGGCCACTGTCTCCTGACGTCCCTCCAGGGACCCGCGATTGGATTCTGGGCTGCTTCTGCCACAGGGGCAGTCGTTTAGGAAGCAGAAGAGCAGGATTAGCTAAAGTCTGCGGAGCGGCCCGGGTCCTGCAGGTCCCCACTTTCAGTCTGCAGAGACAGGTTTACAACAAAACATCCTCTCCCCGCTGAGCCTGAAGCAGCAGAACCACAACGCTGCACCAAGCCCGGCTCCTGTACACACGCGCGCACATACGCACGCACATGCACACACACGCACACACACATACACAAGCATGTACGCAGGCAGTTTATTATTTTTGAAAAAACTGCCCAATGTCCTGAGAATTTCCCTTTGGCCCGGCCACAGGGTGCTTCGCCACTTCCCAACAGGTGGGGGCGCTGCTCGGCCGCCCTGCTCTGCCCAGATTTTCAATCCCTCAGAGGACAGGACCCGCTGCTAGGGTTGCGCGAGAGCTGCCCCCTCGATGGCTTGAGCTCTGCATTCTGTCTTGACCCTCCAGGGCGCAGGACCAGGGAGCGCTGCGGGAGCCTAGTTTTGCTCTAGTTGCAGTCAGGGAAGCTTCGCGGGCTTTGTGTGCGGCTTGGACCGCGCCGAGGAGCCCCGTGTGTGTCTGTCGGGCTCTTAGCTCGGTTGCTTGCTGAGCACACAGGTCAGAGACAGTGGAGAATGAGTTGGGCCCGGAAACGTGAGGGCTCCAAGCTTCCCTGGGCCCTGCCTGTGCCGGGACTCGTGCCAGCCTTGCAGCACACTCGTGCAGACGCCCTTGGCATTTCTGTCTGTGCAGAGGGCAGAGGAGGGAGCACCAGGCCGGCCTTGCATAGGCCCTGTCGCTGCCGGGAAACATTCTGCCCTCCTGCCCAGCAGGGCTCTACCGGCTGCTTCCAGAGCAGCTCATTTGTCCTGGGGCCCACAGGGTTCCAGGCCCGCGACTCATACTTGTCAGAAGCAGCACTTACGATTTCTGCGCATTGCGAGCAATAGTTGAGCTGTTGGGATTTCTTGAAAACCGGTCTCAGAGGTCTCTGTTTGAAGCATTTGTCACAGGAGCCAAACACGTTCACTAAAAAGGTCTGGTCACACATGTTACCTGGAGACAAAGCTGGAAGGCAAAGGAGAGGGCGTGAGGAGGGCCTCTGGGCCTAGTGTCCTCTGGGCTCCTGCACTGGTGGGTGCCATGGCCTCACTGTGGCTGTTCCTTTATCACCCCCTGGGTGGGCACAGAAGCTCGCCAGGTCCGGGAGGAAGCGCCCAACTTCTCCTCGGCTGGTTGTATTGGCAGCCTGTGGCCCTCAGGACAACAACTCTCAGCTCTGAGATTCCTGAAGGACTCACCAGGTAATGGATGATGCCCTGATGGGAAGCTTTTAAAAACATTCCTCCCAGGATCAAGAGCAGTAAATACGTGGAGAAATGAACCTTAGAAACACTGAGCTTTCATCTTGCTCAGAAAAAATGGCTATCATCAAGAAATCATATAAAAACAATTACCAGCAAGGCATGTGTGTGTGTGTGTAAGAACTCTTCTACATCCTTGGTGGGAATGTAAACTAGTGCAACTGAAATAGGAGGCGGGTGTGGCAAAGCTTGCTGGGAAAACACGCAGGACCTGTCAATCACAAGATCCAGGACAGTGCCAGATAATCCCGGGGACCCCGTGTTGCAGGACTTCCTGCAGGCTCCCAAGATGTGGACTGGGTGAAGGGAGCAGCCTGCTGTCACGGCTGCTCCCCTAGCTGCCCGAGGTGCGCTCTGAGTTTCACTTTTATCCTTTCCTGTCTCATCCAGCCCAGGTCCACTCTACAGAGCTAGCTCTTTCCTTCTCCTCTGTCCCCCATCTTTCAGATAAACTTGGTCACTGCTTTTGGCTTGTCTCATCGAATCCTCTGAGGCAAGAAGAATCTGGAATGCTTTTAATTGGTGAGCCTTTTCTAAGGCTACCTGACAACATTTTGGCCTGATCAGCCAGGAGATAACACAAGCACCATGGAGATCAGTGTGGAGAGTCCTCTAAAAGCTAAATCTAGAAATCCCATTTGACCCAGCTAGTCCCCTGTAGGTAAGCTTCCTGAAAGAGAGACATCACATCACAATGATGTACCCCTCCCTTGTTTAATGAAACACAAGTCATAATAGTGAAATCTCAGAGATACACGTATGAAGAAAATGCACTATTTATACATACTAGAGCAGTGCGCTGCCAGAAAGATAGGCTTGAGTCATTTGCAGGAAATGAATTCACCAGAAACCACGACGGTAAGTGAAGTAATTCAGACCACAGATGTAAGCACTGCTTGTTTTCTCTTATGTGAGAAACCAAAAATTTAAATAAAGAACAAGATAAAGAGAATAGCAAGTAGATAGATCTTTTGCAAAAAGTTTAAAAATTCTGATCCTTTGCATAGCGTCTCCCAATGAGCGTGCCCTGGACGCTATTGCATAGATTCTACGGAAGTTGGGGCTCTGTTATTGTTTACAAATTGCATAGATTTTCCTTGAAGCCTGTGCTCTGTGGACACCACACTTTGCACATGTTATAGCGAAGGATGTGCTTTCCGTGTTGTTATTTGCAGAGGTTCTGGCACTGTTGGTTGCCACTGCACACACATTCCACAGATTCTCCTGAGGGTTATTCGGTGTTAATGTTTCCTCTTTACACTGATTCTACCAGAAGTAGTGCACTAGTAATGCTTCCACACTGCACCAAATCCAAAGAAGACTGCGATTGGTTGATGCCTAATCTTTGCACGATTTTATCAACCAGTGTGCTCTGTCAGTGTTACACTTTAAATTTTTTAATTTTTAAAAACACCATTACTTATAGAGCAGTTTTAAGTTTATAATACAATGGAGACGAAGTGGATAAGTGAGTTTGAGTGTCAGTGCGTTGCCAGAGTGGTTGCCAGAGTGGTGACTGCGTCGGTAACCCATACTGATCCGTAATCATGGTTCCTTCATGTGACTCAGTTGTGGGGTTTGGATACATTTATAATGCTCTGTACTCATCATTGCCGTATGCATTTTCACACTGCCTCAAATGATATGTTTTGTGTATTTATACCTTCTCCCTTACCCAGCCCTGGCGGTCTGGTCTTGGTGTGAATGCATAGTTTACTTTTCCCAGAATATCATGTGGGAAAATTCCCAAGTCAAACAGAAAAGAAGACTCTGCACCAAGGAGCAAAGAAGGCAGCATTTATTCTTTAGGTCAGCGGACTTACGGGATCATTCTCAGAGGAAACAGCCCTGAGTTTACAAAGAGTTTAGTTTATATAGCATTTAGGAGTGGGGAGTACAAAGCAAGTGACAGAACCTTCCATAATCAGTTACAGGTGTGGAGTCCTGTATCGACCAGCAGGCGAGTCTTGAGTCTTGGACGGATTTGTTGAAACAAAGGAATTGTTTTATCATTATATGGAGACATTCCAGGAACAGGGAAGGGGCCTTACGGTGAGCATGGCAAAAGGTGTCTTTGACTTGAGCAGGGGACCTTAAGGTACAGACAGTGGCTCTGCCTCAGGGCTCATTGGAGATGCAACCAGGCTTCCCCATTGTCAGGGTCAACTGAATTCTGCAGAGCAGCAGAAACTTGGTCAGAGACCTCTGAGTGTGCTCTAATGTGTATCATGAAAAACCTAAAAGTTTGCTACTTTATAAATGTGTTCTTGCATTTTAATTGCTGTAGGAGCCTCTTCAAATTGGTTTTTCCACTTAATAACACTGATTTCCACAGAAGCTTTTCTTGACAGCTCATTTCCCTTTATCTCTGATGGCCCATTGTCTGTATATGTATCAGGTTTTCTGTTCACCTACAGAGGAACAGTTTGCTTCTGAGTTTTAGCAATTATGAAGAAAGCAGCGATAAATGTCCCAGTACAGGGTTTTGTGTGGATATAAGTTTCAGTTTCTTTGGGTCAATGCTAAATCACATAAATATTTGGTTGTATGGTAAGAATTCGCTTTCTTTCATAAGAAATTGCCAAACCCACTTGCACAGGCAGTTGCATCAGGTAGTCCCGCCAGCCCTAGAGGAGTCACAGACCGCTGAGGTGGTAGAAATCTAGCAGGCCGGCAGGGCTAGGCCCTCGAGGGAGCCAGTGCAGAAGAGGACAGCCCAGCACAGCTGTGGCCCCATCTGTTAAGGGCCAGGCCTCCAGATAGAGACAGAAGGACCAGCCCTGTGCACCTCCGAGAGGGGTAAGTCATGAATTGAAGGTTACACTGTCACTGGTATCACACGAGCTAATATGGGCATCAGCCACCCAGGCGGGTGACCAGGACCTCCCGATCCATTCCTTCCTGAATGTGCACTTGGTACTTGACCTACTGCCCTATTGGATCAATATTGGCCCAGTGACTATGATTGTAATCTTATTGGCTGACCATGGGTGTGAGCCGCCTTGTCTTGTAGACAGCTAGGTTAATCATAAACGTTAGAGGCAGTTAGACGGGGCTGGGCCCTCGGCACAGAGGACAGCTGTGGCTGGGGTGCAGTCACTGAAGGCTGAGCTTCAAGAAAAAGGAAAGACTGCACCCACCTACTTCCTTGGGTGGAGAGGAGCAGTGGCTGTCACTATGCTAAACGGACACCCATCACTTTGGATGGGCAACCAAGACCTTGCTGGTCCAGGCCTTCCTGGAAAGTCCGTGTCAGCGTGTGCTGCTACCTGGCTTGCCTCCCCATTGATCCCCATGTAATCAATATTACCTAAGCGACTATACTTGCTGTAATCTCACTGCTTCACCATCGTGTGTCCCACCTCACGCCCACCTCGTGATTTCCCACTGCATCAGTATACACAGGTGACTGTATCTCAAATCTTATTAGTTGGGTCTGTTTTGTTCCACCTTGAACCCACCTCACCTTGTAGTTTTGCTTAATAAAACACCCCTGAGAAGCAGGGTAGGTGGGTAACCTACTTTCCAGACCCCCGTCCCTCTTAAAGGGAAGCTGTATTTCTCTTAATAAATCCTTCCCATGCTTAACCTCTGTTGTTCCTAGAGTTTGTTCCTTGGTATTGCAGACATCTAGCAGGTGGAGGATTACAGTATTTCCCTTGTATTATTTGGAGGTCTATATATCATCCCCAGTCCACGAGTCCCACAGGAGCTGTACCCACAGTTGATTTTGCTCTGTGAAACTTCCTCTGAGAAACAGGCTCACCGGAGACCCACTTTAGGGTCCTCCTTTCCCTCAGGAGCTCTCTCTCTCTCTCTCTCTCTCTCTCTCTCTCTCTCTCAGTGAGCTTTTCCTGTTCTTAACCTCCCTTATTCCACAGAATTCATTCTTCGATTTTGGGGAACACGAACCTGGTGTGTGTGACGTCTCATTATTTCTACATTATTACTTATTTCTTGTTACTTTTAGATCGGTGGGGCTCCTCCTTCATGCCCTCACCCGTAGTTAGCAAGCTGCGTTAACCTTCATTAGAAATGCAGACTCATGTTCCAAGGAGGTGTGTAGTTAGCATGGCAGAGACATTTAGAAGAAAAACTGATTTATCTACTTTTAGAGTTAGAAGCAAATTTTATGTTATTCATCTTTATAGGAAGAATTATAAAATAAATTTATTTTATTTAGGCAGCAGAATGTGTGGCTGTGAGGTGTGGCGTATTTACACTTTGGGGTTTTCGTTTTAGAGAACCCAGGTGATATTTAAACTTGTATTCTGACTCATTTGACTTAGCCTTAGGTCTGAAGTTGCTATTGTTACAGTTTGCATAGTTTTTTCCTGAAGATTGTGTGGTATCAAAACCTTTCATAAATAATCTACCAAACATAGGGACCGAGGATCACAGGCAAGGAAAAAGATAAGCCAGGCTCTCATGAAGCTTTATTAAAGAAATTAATAGGAAATCTTACTAAAGGTGCTTTGCCTCTGCAGTTAGACTCCAGCAATTAGACAAATAAAAGTAAAGAAAGAGAGAAGGGCTTGGGGTTTAGCTCAGTGGTGTAAGCACCTGCCTGGCAAGTGCAAAGTCATGAGTTCGATCCCTGGTACCATAAAAAAAAAAAAAAAAGAGAGAGAAGCCAGAGGCAGGAAGATGCCAGGTAACACAATTGACATCAGAATCTTCCAGGAATAGTTCACAGGCAAAACA